GAGATGCAAATAAGATGAGACACTTCCATCTGAGCGATTCTTTATGATGGCCATACGCGACATCTGCAGTTAAATGAATAAATTCCTTGGAATCGCATTCTCATTTTCAAGATTACATCAAATGATTCCCTAGATTGACACGTACACTTCTCACTGAAATGTGTTTTTCAAACGCATTTCACCTTTCTATAGAATGCATTAGTGCTTTTGAAAAAGTCGCAAATGTTTTGTGCATACCTCTTTGCCGTTCCTTCCATTACGAGCAAGTGAATTGTAAAGTGTCCGCAAGAAATTGCAAAGACTAAAAAATTCACTTCTTAACATTGCCGTTGAATCATCAATGTAAACTATCATATCCACTCCACGAAAGATACATTTTTCATGTGGCCGTTTGGATTTGAACAATTTCGTCCACAGAGCTGGTGAAGCGTTCGTGTAAGCGGCCGAGTTTCGTCGATGAGCAACTTTCGATCGTTTCTTCAACTTTGAATTATCATAAATGCTTGTTCCTTTTGAATGATTCATCGAAATATCCTCAGAAGATTTGCTTTGCGCGTAGGACGGAGCAAGAATGGTTCTAGTTGCATGTTCTGGCACAGCATCATGGCTGGTGAGCAATACGGTGCTTGGCTTTGACACTGTTAACAAATCATCAGATTCTGCGGAAATCGACGGTCCAGCGCGTTCGAATCGTGCTCTAAACACTTTTCCTTCTTGTCGTTTATGATTCCGTTCGCCAAGCCATTTGTTGATGGCTGAACGCAAATTTTGATCGTTTGAAGACGTTTCATCGTGGAACACATTGTGCACATCGCCGAAATTTTGTATTCTTTTAAGATTTTCGATCATAGGATGTTTTGAATCATGCTCGTTGAGGCTGCGAGTCATTTTACGCGCTTGCGTTGTGAATGAAACGCGATCACTGCGACATTCGGTAGTGATCAAACCGGATTTGGAATCAACAGATTCCGTGCAAATGATTGGTGATCTCTCGGGTTCATTCGGATCGGTTTGTGGTGATTTCAGATCTGACTCGAATATCTCGGCTAGCTTGCGCGAGTTTTGTGATTTAACACTTTTCTCAGATACCTTGATGTTGGGATAGTTGGATTGAGCTGGTGGTATCATCTGCTTCGGATCTGATGACGTCGGACACGTGCAATCAGCTTGTCTAAGCATGGAGCTGTGTGAGGTGGAATTACGCTTTCTTCTAGGCAGTCTGACGGCGCTTCTATGAAATTTGCTCGCTAGACGCGGAAAGTTTTTTGCCACTGAAAGGAATTTGTTGTTGATGCCTTGCTGTTCATTAGTTCTGCTCGTCTGGTGACGATTGCTGGATCCCACCGAGAAGCGATCATTGCCGGGGATATTTATTGAGTCAATTGCTCGTCGCTTCAAAAGCTTGAGTGAATCGTTGAGTGGATGACCCTTAATCTGAAAGCAATCAGTTCCAGTAATGTGCAGATTTGTAAGTGCATTATGCTTTGAAATGTTTTTCAAAGTAACAATATCTATTCCTCACTCCAAACATACAGCAGATACAATATGACTGCCAGACTTACTAGTGGAATGGTGCCGACTTCAACGAACGTAGAAGGAGTCGATTCCGAGCGATCGAACGGAACTGAGCGACAAATCGGGCACGCAAATAGTATTTGGCAAACATCTTCGCGGACAGTGCACAGGAACTCGTAGCTGAATGATGATGATGAATGTTTTAGAAATGTCTGTCGAAGCATTCAACAATTTTGGTTCCAACGAATGATTTTGGAAACGTTCAAAGCGATTGAATCGAAAATTGCTAATATATGGGCTGTAAAATGTTGTTTTTTTGGGCTGATAGTCCAGTCAGGTGAGGATAACCATTTATACGCTTTTGATTCGCGACATTGTTTGGAGAAATTTGGATGAGAACTGCA